AATGAGCCTACTGTATTACAAAGTATATCGAGAACTCGTGAAACAAAACAAGTACCTAAAGAGTTTAGGTTCAAGTTCAGTGGCACCCAGCGATTCTAATTCTTCCGCAAAGATTGTGAACTTCATTCGAAATCGACGAGCTTTTCTCGTTTGTCTTAGCACTGTTATTTGCTTTGGAATTGGAAATCTACTGATGGCTGTGTTTAATATTTTTAAGATCGCTAGCCGCGGTCATCCACTCATGCAATATAGTTGGATGCTTCATTTGGCGAATATTTTCAGGATCACTGGGTCGCATTCAGTTAATCCGCTCATATATGGAATATTGGATAAAAAAATGCTTTCGTTCTGGAAACTTTTCGCCCCAAAGCAAAATATTACATGTAGAACTTAAACATTAATTTTCTTCTGATTTCATTATATATTTAGCTATTAATTTTAATGAGTTCCAATATAACCAGGGAGCAGCGTGGCAGCGTCTTCAAACAACTTAGCATCAGTTAGGCATTTGTTATACCACATTTGATGCTATATTAATTCTAATGCATGTTCACAATTTTATTGGATAACAATACCCAAGTGACTAGAGTGCAAACACCCTAAGACCCATGAGAGGCAACTCTCCCGCATAATCAGATAAAGATTAAAATGGTGGCGAACGAACAGGAAGAATATTTGCCGCCTTTTGAGAGCCTATGGTAGCAATTAAGAAAGTATTTCGTATTTCTTAAGATTTTATGGAAGGTTTAGCTTATATTTATGCATAGGACAACTATTTCTACAAGTATTAGCTAATTTTTAACACAATTCGATATAGGGAAAGTCAGGGAACATCAACTTGAAATAATATTGATCTTTCGAATATTTGTTTGTCAATATTTTTTAATTTTGGACACCTTTGCTTATTTTTCGTTATCTTCAACGATTTTGAAGAATTTTGTAGTTGACCTTTGTAGAGGTCTTAAGAAAAAACCTTCCTTGCACGATTTCTGGAATACCTCTGGCACAAACTTTGAATCGAATTGTTATAAGGAATATACATATATTAACTGATTATTGGCCGCGCGTCAGGTAATGTGAAATATCAGACTGAGGCTTTCTAGTATGGACCGAGCGTCGAATGAACGAGGTTCATGCGAAGAACCTCGGTCTGATATTTCAGACCGAACAAGTGAGGTTATTATATGGCTGAACTGCATGAGACATCCGGGATACTGGTCCATATACGAGCTTTTACGGATCGCTCGTCAACCAATCAGAATAGAGGATCTTGAAAAGCCATATATAATAAAATGTTTTATTGCATGCATTTCACTGAAATGACCAATATAGAATCGTGTTGACCTAATATAGAATTTTCCAGTCTATTTCATCTAAAGAGTTGCACGTTAATTGCGGTACAAAACCTTATGGATTGAAACCACAAAGCCCACAATTTGTTGTTTGATACCCCGTGTGATAGAATACGCGGAGGAGATTCTTGAGGATTTGAAAACATGCCACGCATTCCTTCTCAAGGCTCGAGCAAGGATCTTTGTATAAACAAAAAAGGGTGCCAGTTGACACTTGGCATGCCGCACAGACCTCTATGCTCGGTAGTGTACAATATCCGTGTCTGAATATTAGGTCTCGTTTAGTTTCAAAGTTATTTATGGTTACAAATAAAAACGCTTGTGGAATTTCCTTTCACATCATTATATTTCGATATTTATCATTTTTCCTAGCTTTGCTTTTAATTCGGTTAGTATAATTTTTCTGTCGATTATGAAATCTCCCATGTGTAGTGTATGTTTTAATTGTTTCAGGAAACCGTGTAGACTGGTGCTTACACCAAGTATCTGACACCAATATGACCCCCTGTCAAAGCAGTTGCTAACCAACGTTGAGAGCATTTCCTTTCTTTTCATTCTTGCACGTATATTTTCGATCGAACACCGCTAAGACTCGGGGAAACTTCACATCGATGTAAGTCACAATGCGAAATTTTTCATCCACCGTCATCGAGTGCTTCAAGTACATACGTTCATACGTTCTTGAAAATGCGATAAACATGGTCGAAATATAACCAATTGCTTGATATGTTCAATATATCTTATTTCCTTATTTTTCAACCCATTCTAAAGCCTGCAGTCCATTGTAACTAGTTATGCGAAAATCTCGAGCTGTTTCCCCATGAATCAAATTTGTAAATTGCGATTTTGAAACTGGTGTCTAGCATCAATATTTTTGAATACTTCATGCAATCATAAAGCGGAAGCATCTTTATCAAGTTGCGTATCAGCATTAAAGAACTTTGTCCCCAAGACCGATTTCCCTTCAATATTATAATTGTTTTTAAATTCCTCGCTTCTGATTGGCAGGATACCTCTGGTTTCCTTGTTTTCGTCGTATTAAACCCAAGTTTAATTCCTTTCAACGTTAGTTTCGTCCTTCGAAAGAACTGCAGCGGCCATCTTGCCAGTTTGCCGCGCTTTTGCAAACCGATGCTATGGAAAAAGGGCCCGTATATGATGCCAAAAAATACTCTTATATCTCGGTTGTGATCTTTGGGATTATTGGTAACTCTCTTGTCATCATCACGCTATTAAAACAAAGACGTTTGTTGAAGAACAGCTACTATTTTCTTGTCTTGCATCTTGCAATATGTGACCTTGGATGGCTGAGTGTTATTCTAGTTGTTATAATTAACCGTTTCTACGTCGAAAATCCATTTATTCCTTTGAACTCTCTCATCTACTGTCTTTACGTCGATATTACGTATTTCTTTCAAATCGCTGGAGTTTACATGATGTTAGCAATTTCGGTGCTTCGTTACCACGCTACCGCGCATCCCTTGAAACACAAGATCAGCCGAAGAAAGCTAAAAATCGTTTGTGGTTTGGGATATGTGCTAGGCGTTGTAATCGGCTACGGCGCTGGCGTCCCAGAATGTTCTGTACAGCAGTACGGGAGGTTTCATAGTGCATACTTTGTATTATTCGTTTATTATGCCCCAACGATATTCATACTTACAAAGTTTATCGCGAACTTTTGAAACAAAACAAGTACCTCAAGGGTCTACGTTCAAATCCTGTCGCGCAAAGCAGCACCAGTTCAACTCAGACATTCTTGAACTATATTCGGAATCGACGAACGTTTCTAGTTTGCCTCAGTACCGTTCTCTGCTATGGAATCGGAAATATCCCAATGTCTGTGTATCTTATCTGGGAGACAGCCGGCGAGGATGATCTGCTGGTGAAGTACTTATGGGTTCGATACTTCGGTGGTGTTTTACGGGTTGCAGGTTCAAACTCTGCGAATCCTCTCATATACGGAATATTGGACAAAAAATTGCTCACGTTTTGGAAACTCTTCCCTCGGAGGAATCGAAACTCACATAATATAAAAACAGCTCATGATGGATGAAACTCCTTTCCATTTTTTGTATCTTCGATAAGTTTTATTATCAGTCTTGGACTTTTAAAGATTGTGCATGAAGATGTAATATTTGAAATGACTAATGTTGTGTATATCTCTTCAGGGTTTGTGAACCCTCGATTCAATTTACGACGGTTAATTATTTTAGGTCGCAAAATACGCTACAATGTAGTCACTATGAAGTTATAGTTATTTTACAGCGAGATTTTTAAAATGATTGTTTCTTTTCCTTTTTAAATATAATAATTTTGTTGATGATGCTGGTTATGGAAGATCGAATTAAAGTTCAAATTGTTACAAATTTAAGCTAAGAGTTGTTTGTCTTATTTATTGGCAAAAATTACTTTTGGCAAACCTTACATGTCGGCCGTAATATGTCACTTGCATGCATGGAATGGCTGCAAAACTCTTCTGGCAAACATTTGTAATCCTAATTATAACACATACTTTCAAAACAGACTAGTCTTTGTTATTTATCGAGCTGATTTATTCTATTAGCTGATAATATATGCCAGACTATTCAAACCAATATTGGACCAGTTTAAATCTCAAGGACTATTCTCTATGATTCTAAAAATATGAGTAGCTGCATGAATTTGCTTTCGTTGCCAATAAAAGTGGGCATTCCTTGACTTCCGCGACAGAAAGTGTCGTGTTTATATGTGCCAGAAAGTTCAAAAGTTTATTTGTATTTCTTCAACTAAAGCATTGAGCGCGCAGGATATGCCGCGTCGTATATCAAATCGTTTCTAGTTCAAAATTGGACTAGTTTGAAAAAGTATCTCTGCATTGCACGAGCGTGTATTGCACGCTTTTGCATTGTTGCAAATGACAATGAAACTTAAAATCGATAAAGTACGTACAGCAACGGAAATCATTACTTACATATTGACCTATATTAGCTCTATGTTGTTCAACATAGAACGCAATTACCCGCAACTAATCATGCATTTCAACGGACATAGCTGAATAAAAAACTATATTTATATATACTCGTTTATTTGATGGAACGGAAAGAATTAAAGTCTTGTTTACGCTGCATCAAAATGCCATCTTTGCGGAGTCAAAATTTGTATGTAAATAATAGACCTTGAGGTGCTTACGTCACGGAACTGTCAAACAATAAGTTGCAATGCAATCTGGGAAACAAGTAGGAAAAATTAACCTCATTTTACATAGATTGAAAACTGTGTAACGTAAGCACCTCTATATAAGGTCTATTCGGTGTTTTCAAGAGATAAAAATAATCAAAAAATAACCAAGGCTCGGATTACATCGTAGATTTTTTATGATTACAGAATGTGTAATCCTTAAACGGCAAAATCTTAATTGGTAAACCGCCTAATAATATTATACTAATTAACATTGAGATTTTCCCATCGTTATATTGTTAACAAATTCTTTAAAACCTGGGATTTACCGATGCAAATTTTCTTCAATGAAAATTTGACAGGGTAAACCAGGAAACCAGAAAAACGAAGATATCGTGCAGAGCGAGTTTGGGGCAAACTCTCTTGTATGTAAAGTAAAAAAAGTGAAGATATTTCTTTCTTTTAAACGTAAGGTTTTTCCCCTAAACGCAGGTTGAACTGGAGCGCAAGTTGGAAAGTTCAAACAAGTCAAAGATCCACTACAAGCAACAGTGGAGTAGAGCATTAAAAGAACTTGGGAAAGTGAAACAGAACGAACAGACGGTTGCTAAAGCAAGATTGAAACAACAAGAGAAGGAACTGGATGAAATGAGGCTGAGGTTTCTGGCAGCTCAGGAAAAAGAGGTGCTATAAATTATTCGTTTAAAAAGATTCATCGGAACCACCTTTGAAGTGTGTTTTATGCTTTCTCCCTAACCTTAAATAACGAAAATTGAATAGAGTTTGTAGTTCAGGTAGAGGTTGTAGATGCTTAGTTCGGGGAGGAACAGATCGGGCTACGAATCTGTAACGTAGTTTAAAAATGCAAATTATCTCCTCTGACAGGAGTTGAACGTATATTTCTGTATATTCACTGGAAAAGGTTCCGTCCATTATTTCCTCTAAACTATATAGTTTCCCTGATATATGTACCACCTATTCTCTATTGTTTGTTTCTGGTGATGCGTTGTAGATTGCAAATACCGAGAAAAAGGAGTTAGAAGACATAAAAAATGAACTCAACAGGTATAAAGACTAAAGAGTAAACTCCTTGTATAATACTAGATCTAGAGGGCTTTATTTCGAGCCAAAGATAGCCAAGTTGTGGCTGCTAAATTCGACACTCATACGCATACGTGTTGCGGAAAGTTTTAGGCATTCGAGTATTAGTAGTTCAAGTCACAACTCAGTTACTCCACTTGTAACAGCGAGGGAAATTAAATTCGGTAACTCAAAGAGAGGAAATATGAATGACATTATTACCAACAGGAAAAACGGTAACTTCATCGTTGGTAGCGACAACAGCAGTATCAACAACAACAATTACATAATTACAACAACAAGTAACAAAAATAACAATAACAGCAACAATGACAACTACGTTACTCTCATCAAAACAAGCTTAATCAAATTGTTTGTATTCTCAGATTAAAAGACCAAGAACGTTCAAAGCAACAAGATGCTAATGCACAACGAGAACAGCTGGAGTCTCAACAAGAAGCAGAAAAGGCTATGTTAGCTGCACGCGAGAGAGAGGAAATTCAACGTAAGGAAGAACTTGACAGTAAAATCGCCAAACTTATAGAAGAAAGGGATACATTACTGCAGACTGGTGTTTATACGACTGATGACAGGATCATTGCCGAGCTGGACAGACAGATAAGAGAAACCATTGCAAGCAAAACATGAATTGCATAATCATGTCTTTTATCGTGTTGATATTTATGTTTGTGATGTCTGTTTCAAGAAATTGACTGGAATGGTCTGAACGTTTCGCTTAGATAGTATGTTATTGTTGTCAGATACGGTGTTATTTATATGGGGTGATGTTCTGAAGTTGTCATGCATATAAATTTAAAGCTAAATTGAAAAATCGGTGCGATTCCAAATTAATAATATGAAGAGACTGACGCTAGTCCTCAATGCGGCGTAAAGAAGTTTCAAAGATTCATCGAAAAATATCATTCCTCCTATAAGTTTTGAGTTGAAGCTGGTGGTTCAATGCTTAACGGTGGAAAAGCGAAGGTTTAAATACCCTCATACGTCTTGTGAATGCCTCAACCTACCGGGTGACTAAAAAATATACTCAGGTTTTTCACTCAAAAACTTCTTAATGTGTATAAAGCTATCGAAATGAAACACGTTTTTAGTTGGAGAAAAGACTAAAGTAGATTTTTATATGTTATAGTTTTTTTAAGAAAATTCATGAATTAAGATATTACTTTTCATAATCGGTACATTTCGGGATGTCTTTGATTATCTTTTAACACCAATATCTCACTGAATTTTTGAGTAAAATATAATTAATATATAAATTTGGGTACCTGTCGATGGGGCAATAAAGCTTTGTGGGGATCACCGTCACATTTGAGAAAGATGGTAAATAAATAAATAAATTGTAATATACCAAAATCTAAGTTAACGTTCCCTCAATCTAATGAAATTTTTTTCATTGTTATTGGCTATTCATTGGTTAAAAAGTAATTATCAATCAAACCGGAGTACTTTTTTAATTTGAGAGACCCGGTACATCTTATGCATATGTACTTCCATTTAAATTTAAATTTTTACATAGATGATCGACTTATCTACTGTTTAAGAACGCCTCTTGAACAACCGACCCCTGACCTATTTACTTTTGCACTGCAAGTCGTCATTTTAATGAACTTATTTATGTATGCGTGTCGCCAACTTGTCAAAGGTTCCTGTTGATGCATATGTTTTCTGTTTGCAGTTTGTCTGGTATGATCGTAGAGTGTGAAATTCAGCATTTTCCATTTGCTGCATGTGGCGCAGTTTAGAGAGAGTTACAAAGTCACAACGATGGGAAAGACAGCGGTTGAAGACACCTACCAGTACTCTTTTTTTTAATTGCTGTGTTTGGGATCACCGGCAACAGTTTCGTTATCATTTCCATATTACGGCAAAGAGGTTTGCTGGACGGAAACTACTACTTCCTTGTTTTACAACTTGCGATATGTGATCTGCTATGGCTGATTATTAACTTCATGGAACTTGCATTCGCAATCTTTTTCTGTCCTGTCGGACTTACAACGTACCTCTTTCAAGTCGCAGGAATATACCTCATGTTGGTCATTGCAGTTCTTCGTTATCGCGCCACTGTTCATCCCTTGAAACCTGCCATCAGCAGAAAGAAATTGAAAATTGTCTGTGCTTTGGGCTACATTCTTGGCTTGATTGCAGGCTACGGCGTTTTTATGCCATTATCCTGCTTTGCTCCTTCGGTATCTACCCGTAAGTTCCTGATGGCATACTGCGTATTCTTGCTTTACTGTCCTCTGACATTAGTTATGACCGTGTTCTACTACAAGATATATCGAGCACTCGTTAAACAAGACAATGACATGAAACACGCACGTTTTAATCCATCGTCACAAGTACAAAGTAGTAACTCAACCTCAAGCTTCAAAATCATCATAAAATATCTTCAAAATCGGCGAACATTTCTTATTTGTGTGACGACCGTTCTTTGTTACGGAATTGGAAATTTGCCCATCTCAGTGTATTTTTTGCGGTACATCGCCGGGGGATATTTACAGAAGGAATATATTTGGCTTTACTCTATTGGGATAATCGTGAGAATCGCTGGTTCATGTGCGGCAAATCCACTTATATATGGCGTGTTGGACAAGAAGCTGTTCAAATTTCTGAATACTTGCTGCAAGAAAACGCAGCCTCGTAACAGAATTTCCGGACATCCAATATGAAACTTTGGTAACTTTCACTTGCATATAGTGTTCACGAATAACGAATATTACACACCCGTGAGATATATATATAGCTAAGACTAAACTGAACGTTATTTATAGAAATCTATATACGGTCTTCACTCATTGTTGTAAAGATCAAAACAGTTAGTATATTGTTTTATCTTGCCATCTATATTACATGTAAGATGATAATTATTAGTGTTAAATACTTTAAAAAAGTTTCCTCGTTTTACTAGAATCATGACTGGATTATTATTGAATTATTAGTATACGGGACGGAATCATATTTTTTATGTAATATGAATGACATGAAAATAATATTTAAAAAAATTGCATCTGCTCTTTAATCGTGCATATTTCGTTTTGTTTATTTAAGAATTTGAGAGAGTAGCTATGTCTCGACAAACTGCCGAAATATATCCGCAGACAGCTGAAACCTCTGGAACAAAGTCAATTTACGTTTGGAATATTACAGTACCCTTTAGATAAGATAGATTAGATACGGTTTCATAAATTAGAATACATATATTTTGCCGGTTCTGTGAAGATTTATTTCATAGATGCCAAGGCATTTTTGTTACAAACGTCACTGTATATGGGGACAAGGTGGCCTTCGTAATTGTTTTATTTGCTTGCCAAAATTTATGCTTTCTTTTCATATTGACATTTTGATGAGTAGGACATTATCATAAGTGTTTTCCACTAGGCGGAATTTTTCGATCGAACGAAATTTTTCGCTCGATTTTCTTTTCAATTGTGACCGATGAAACCGGTGAATATTATCATGTACGTACGTCATTCACTGTTCATGCTATCGAGTCGTACGCAAAATTTCAGTATTATTATATAGAATAAGCTATATTTCGGCAATTTAAATTATTCTTGTTTTCTTTATAAGCTGGTATATTTATATAAGCTTATATATATAAGCGCTGGTCTTGCCCGCCAATTTTCAATGTTCTTGCATTTGGGTTAGCTGTCGTCTGTCAGCTGTGTCCGGGACAATGGTCAGGAATTGACTTTCTTGGCGAAGGTAAGGTTTGTTGCACGTCGCCAGCATAAACTGCGAATGAAATACATTAGTATGTACTTATAGTTTATCCGTGTTTCTAGTTTCCTGCACCGTTTACAAAGTAGAGGACCGGCAGACTGGGCAAATTGTGGCGGTGAAAAAGGTAAATATTTTTCTATAAATATCCATTGATCGTGTCGGTCGAGTTAGTGTACGTTCTAGTTTAAGGATTTAAAGTAGTCTGTGATTACACTAGATCTGTATGTATAATTTATGATAACAATTCACTTGATGCTTTTGGGCATATAAAATGTGTTTGGCACTGCCAGTATAAAACCAATATAAAACTGGTCCAGACGACGAGACGAAGAAGTGCCTCCAAATTATAAGTAAATTACTACCCTAATATTTCAAGGTTCATTCCTGCCGAATTGGAAATTCATTCAAATGGAAATTTGTTTGCACCATTCAATGTGGTTTGCACTGTTCATTTCTTTGTAACGTATACTCTATGGTGCTCCCAGTAATGATTTTTTTAAATTTTCCTTAAAGATGAAGCTTGGAAGAAGGAGTGAAGCAAAAGATGGTACATACTATGTCTAAATGATATTGAAAGATATTTTAAGGAGATTTTAGAGATTTTCAAAACTTCGTTCTTTTGCTGTCAGGGATCAACAGATCTGCCTTGAGGGAAATCAAAATGCTGCAGGAAATTTCACATGAAAATATAATTGGCGTAAGTTTTACAGTATTCATTTTACGTTTACTGTACTGATTATAGTTTATAATAATATTTTTTTAAGTTTGCATGGTGAGATCAAATAAATAAATTGGCTTGTAAGTACACCACATAGGTGTTTAATACTGCAAAGCTTTTGGCCCGTAAACCCGGGCTTTAGACAAGTGCACTGATGAACTTCCGGGTTAACAGACTGAACGCTGGCCAGTATAAAGACTTATGTGGTGTACCTACAAGCTAATTTACTTAATTAATCATGTCTTTTATATATTTTCATATTTATGTTTGTGAGGTTTGTTTCAAGAAATTCACTTGACCGGTCTAAACATTTCGCTTAGTCTTAGATAGTATATTATTGCCGTGCTTTAATTTCGTTTCCCGGGCTGTTTCCTCGATCTAGCGAATAAACGCAGACTCTGGGATAATCCAAACCGGAAACCAGGAATCCTGGCTAACACCAACAGCGTGTATTGATTGCAAAAGGTTGCTTTCACTTTAAATCTCTGTGAACGTGGCTCGGTCGCCATCTTTGAAGTCAATTGAAGCTGTATTGAAGGACCAGTGCCAGTCCATATCTACTGTTTTTTTCTTCACGGTCGACGATCGCGCCGACAAAAATAATAATAAGGGTTTAGGACTGGTTATGGTGTCTGAGGTGATGTGATTGGTTAGCGAGAAAACTCGCGCGAAATCGTTTCCTACTTTTTTACTTTTTATTTGTTCGTGCGAATTCACCTAGTGGAAAACAGGCTTTAGGCTGCCGAGTAATTGCCAGTTATTATTTTTCTCAAATAATTAAACAGGATTCGTTTTAGTTGTATTGTGCAGTCCATGCTGAAAACGAGGGTCTGGCAAAGATCGTATCTCCTCTAAGCTTTTAGCTGATACGTGAGCTAAGTCGTCATTTTAGTTCTTCGCAACAATGGAAGAGGCAACAGTCGATGAGGTCTTCAGATATTCTGTTTTGTTTGTTATTGTATTTGGGATTCTCGGCAACATTTTGGTTATCATCTCCATATTAAAGCAAAATAAAATTTTGAAGAACAATTACCACTTTCTTGTTTTACAACTAGCGATATGTGATCTGGTATGGCTGATTGTTAACTTCATGGAACCCGCATTCGCAATCTTTTTCTGTCCTGTTACACATGCAACGTACCTCTTTCAAGTCGCAGGAATATACATGATGGTGGTCATTGCAGTTCTTCGTTATCGCGCTACTG